CAGGACGTTTATTTCAACAATACTGCTTTCATTTACAGATTCCAGTTGTTTTGAAACTCAGCGCGCATGGGATAGAGCTTAAACCCCTTGTTTGGGCACTAGCTATGGGTTCCTGCTTAGGAGGTAAGCCTCAAAGCAGAAAAAAAAACATCTGCCCGGCAGATCTGATCGATAGTAAACGTCATGTTTCATAAAACTTGTCACCGCAAAACATTTAATTTATCGATTTATCGCACTCGGTTTGCTCAAGTTTGTAGAGCACCGTACTGAAGTACGGGAGGTCGAGGGTTCAAAACCCAGATCGGACCAACGCTCGCGGTCTTAAAATAATTGAGGACAATGTGCTGCTTTTGCTATGACATTTGGTTAAAATGGTTGTCGGATTAGGACGATAAAGCTTAGGCCACGTCTCCTGTCTCTTCTCTGTTGCGGCTAGCAGGGCATGTTATAGATTCCACGCTCTTCTTGCTAAGATTGGGGAACGTAGCTCCCGGTGTTGTGATGATAACGTAAATTGGCCACCTTTAAGATTTTCAGTGAGACCGGTGTTGTGGTGTGGCCTTGTTCTTGCTTATCTTTGTTTTACCCCGTTCGATCACGTTCTCTGTGTGTCGCGTTCACGTGTTGTTTAGTTGTAAAGGTTTGTTTCCTCTCAGGAATAGTATTTTATACGAATCTAAGTAACCACCATCAGACAAAGTAAACGAGTCTCTCGTATTTTTTGGCAGGGAATGGCACGCTTATTGGTGCGTCGGCTAACGTTGTCTGTGCTGGGCTTTCAGAGCAGTATGGCTACCCTATTAGTTTCAACACATTTTTCAAGTGAGAATTCTCATTTATTGTTATGAAACCACAGGGAATCCAAGCTCAATTTATGGATGACTTTTCGTTTCGTCCATGTCGCAAAACTAGAAAAAGGATGTTTGATGAAAAAAAACAAAACTAAACGCAAATCGAGGAGGGAAAAGAACTAAAACACTAACGAAAAAAAGCGACAATGTTACAGAATATTGAAGTCACACGACGTTGAATGAGTCGTTTTTTTTTTTACACACTTTTGCACAGCAATAAATGAAACGTTTGGGTAAAACCACTCGGCCAGGAACCTGGAAAGTTGTACAAACCTTCATAATTCGAGCTTGGACTACCTGTTTTAAATACTGGAAAATTTTCTTTTTTATGTTATTAACAATATCTTTCTTTTGGTTTTGTTTCAGAATTGGATTCCTCATTATGCTTGCAACCACAACAACAGCCATGCTTTATCTGTTGATCATAGAAGTTCTCGTGTAGAGAGAATAATGCCTTCACACGCTTTTATTCAATCTTCAGATTCATCAATATTACATTGGCTGACCCGCAAATTGCAATAACTAGTCTAGGGCGGATCAATAACAAATTAAGATTTAGATAACTAACTAAGCTATTAAGCTAACTGCCTAAACTGCATTGGATTCAGAGTTTGGAAAAGCTTACAACTAAACACTGGAATTTTAGTGGAAAGAAAAGGTAAAATAAGAAATTATTAAGTAAAACTCGGATGTTACATCATTATTTACAATACTGTACTTTTGTCATAATTGTTTCAGTATTCAAGTAATTATCTTCGTTTGCGTGGATGCCAAACAAAATATCATGGTGTTTTGCTGGCAAAGATGTTTTGGTACTGGTCTCTTCGGCAAATTGTTCAGAATTGTGTAATTGTTAAAATAATTCTGCAATATTTAAAATGACAAAAATCAAATGTTAAAGAAAATTGAAAATTGTCATTCAACGATTTTATCAGCTATGCCACGAAGGCAACGTACTTAACAATGATTTAGCCTTTCGTTGCAGTTTATTCTTAGTTAAAAAGGAATTAAAAGGCAAAAAAACGCGCTTTATGATGTGCTTTTCATTCTAATCTTTTTTAACTCAGGGCCATGCAATAAACTTATTGTAAAGCCGGTTTACCAGGGTAAACTTCGTCTAGAATGCTTTTCAATGGAGCGACGCAAAACTTTAAAAAGAATGCATCTAAACGGGAAGAAGTGGATTTATTAGGGAGCCAATGAGATAAAAGCCACACTGAAGGCACATTTGTATTGGTTGTTTGATCACCGGTGCAAGCCTCGAAAACTGAACCAGATCCTTCCGGATTGCGTGACGTCAGATTATGTTCCTGATCAGTAGGAGGAACCGAGTGTAGCGAGTTCCGGGTGACATAACCTCGAGCTACATATTTTCCCGTGTGGCCCGACTAAACGCAGTCATTAAGCATTTTATCACATGACCACTAAGTGTTGGAAATTTTGTATCAACCTTAATGGGGCGCGATAAACGGGCGCGCGCGGAACACCCCCCGAAAAAGGTTCTACAATAAAAAAATTTTTCTTTTATTTTTTCGAGTCAGAACAGGAGACTCGCAATTCATCGGAAAACGCGACTTACTTTCTAATTTCTCAATGTTTTATTTTTGCAACAAAGCCTTCCGAGTGCATGGCCGGACGGCTTTTTCCATGACCGGCTCCCGTCATCCCATACAGCCATACATCAAGCATGTTAAGTTTTTCTATGCGATTGCGTAAGCGGGGACGGACGGGTCATGTGATAACTTATGATATTACACCCCTCCTCCGGATCTTCGCCCCAGTTACTATTTCAATCTGCGTGGTTCATCAAGCTGGCAAGATGGCACTCGGTTTGATTCTTCTTATCTCGTGACCTCTCTCAGTCGCATGTGCGGCCCGTTGGGAACGTAGCTCGTATGTTAGCGTTTTTGTCTCGAGTGGAAAACTCCAAACAGATTATTAGCATCAAGGTATGGGAAACAGTTGTAGTTGTTCCCCCTTACATTGCTGACTTTATTTCATTAGTGTTACTTTATATTAAGCAGCCTCATTATTTTATTGCTGGTGTTTAAGTTTTCAATCTTCTTTTTTTATTTACCCACCTGTATATTTGTACTTGAACTGTACAACGTTTGTCACTTTTCACGCTGGCTTAATAGAAGCTTGACGCTACAATAGGTTTTTCATCGATCCATGTGCTTTTTCACTTGGCGAGTTTTGATTTCTTCAGCGGGTAAATTTGTTTCCTTTTAAAACCGCATTATTAAGACCAGGCTTAGAAACTGCCCTTAACTTGAGTGGGTGATAAAAGTTCTCACCTTTAGACCGGAAAACTACATAGGCGCTAGACAATTGAAAGCTGAAAATTTTTTATCGCGTTGAAAAATCCACAATTCTTTCGGTTGAATCAAAGCTAAACGCCTGATTTGCCCTTACAAAGCTTGTTTATCTTAGGAATGATAACTTCCGTTCCTCGCCAAACGATATTTAGTTACACCGACAGCCACGCCGCAGCCTTGAAAGCTGAAAATGACATTTCCTGGGTGAAAAAGAAAATATAACAAAGGGTGAACTGTAAATGAAAATCAAGGAAAGCAATGAAAGTCGTATGCACGAGGAATTAATACGCTCTTATGTCTGCAGGGTGCGATTTTAATTAAGACTACCGCTCTTTCAGGTGTTTTTTCCCCTTCGTATATCAGTTCCTATTTTGGGCCATATATACTGTATTGACAAAATAATTAATGACTGAATAGTCACAAGATCGTAGAGTAAACACGTCATACCTGTTTTAGTATTTCATGACATTATTTTAAATAAATCAGTTTAACACAACAAAATAAAAGCCACAGAACTCTCAGGCTTTCACCTTTTCGACCTGAAGAAGAGATGAATTTGTGCTAGGGTCTGTAAAAAGCATTTCTGCAACTGATCAGAAAGGCGTTTAAAAAAAGGACAATAAAATATACTAAGAACGCTTTTCAGCCCAGCTTGGTCCAACGAAGAAGTGAAAAAGGAAATCTGGGGACGACTTTCGAGCGAAAAATCTCTCTAACAAAGAGAAACTAGAGTTAAAAGATAACATTTATTAGTAAAATGGTTAATTTTATGTTGTTTTAAAATAACACTAACTTTAACAGATAAGTTTGTCTGTTGACTTTTTTCCTGGACAATCTAAGGAAAGTTTGAGGATTATCACATGTCTGGCGCTATTCTGGTTTTAAGAAGCTTATCTAGAAAATACAAGACCTTCAATACGTCTCTGTTTCTTTTTCGTGCAATACGTGCTTTTGTAAGATTCCCGCAAAACCACCGTGTGAAGAAGTCCCAATTTGAGTTCCATACGAATCTACCATTGACGTTTGTAATTGGCTGAGATGATTAATTTTCATCATAAAAAATGTTTTTGCCGTGAAAATCCGATGAAATAAACTACAAGGCCTTTATGGGATAAGTGCCCGAGCTAAGAGCGTTTATCTAGACGAAATATAAATGGGCGTTCCTAATGTAAGACCTAGCTTATTATCAGGTAAACATTAATAAAAACAATACTAAGCTTATAATGAACCTGGCGTTCATTAATAGGATATTTGATTCTTATTACTGGAAACTTTCCAGGGTCTCCACAGTGCTGCATTCAGATGCAACTGAAAGAACAAGTCACCTGCATTCCGTCTAAGACTGCAAGCTACCTAAAGCGTGCGGTTGGAAATGTGGTTAGCTGTAAATTGCCTGAAAGCCACATTAATCATACATGCAAGTCCTGTTCAGAAAAATAAGGCGAGAAAATTAAAATAATATGATATTTCTGACCACAACTACTGTTCTAAAAAATTCGTCATTCTCAATAACATAATTTGTTTCCTTTTTTGACGTTTAACATTTTAAAATTTTAACTAAGTTGACGGAAATCGAGTAATGTATCATGGTTTGTGTGCGATACGGAAAAATAATACATCCACTCTGAAATATATGGTTTAGTGTCTCACTTTTTATGTGAATTTATTTGTTTGTGTAAGAAACTTGCGAATGATGTGAATGTTCCCATAAACAACAATAGAGGTGACAGGTGAAGAGAGCTTGTCTTCTGCTACCCTGGTGTTCAAAATTACCGCACTGAATTATTCATAAGACTCCGCACTCGCGCATGCTAATTCACGGGCAAGCAGAGCGAATGGCGATGAATCGCATAGCTTCCGACGGCTGGAATAAGAGAAGCACAGCTGAAATTCTCATCGCTTAATTCATGGGGAGATAAATACCATACAGTCTACCGATCCATACTTTTCAGTACAGGATCTGGGACTCTTGAAGGTGAGCAGAATGATTTTATTATGCCAACTTTTTAAAGCAAACTGTGCTTTACTCGAGGGTTCGTGTCTGAGGATTTCGCGAATGTTTTAGCAGAAATATTCAGCGATTGATTGGAGAGCGCGGCGTGTTTTGAAAGGCAGCACTTAAATGACCTCCCTGTGTTGTATTAAGAAACTCAGCTCACCATAATGGGCAACTTACCATTTTTAAAGGCCTAAAAGGTCTCGAATGTTTACCAACTTTTTTCTTATAGCGTCTTTGTTGACAGATGTTGGAAACGTTATATTTTTTCCTCGAGAATCTCTTGATACGCCGACGTCGCTAGTAAAGTTTCAAAATGAGAGGATAAATCTTAATTTTATGACCTACATAACCTGGAATATAATCATTCTGTGAAATGACCAACGAGAGACGAAATTTAAAACCGCTAAGCTTGTAAGACCCAGTCCGTGCAGATTGCACTGGTCTGATATTCACCTGTGCTCCAACCATTTTGCGTGAATTCAAGTTTGATGATGGTGTATGTTTTTTTTCCAAATCCCCTCAGTGCCGAATAGTACCTATAACTGTATAATTGCCCAAATTTTAGAGAACTTTGGCGATGTGTTTTGGTAAGAAAACTTGAGCTTCATGTAGGTGGTTGTGTACATAGCGTGTGGACTACCTGCCAAACTTTCAGTCGACGAGGATACGATACAACTTGGTTAACAGTTTTGCACCTCCGAAAAATAGTTTTTTTTCAGTTGACAGCAGAAAAATAAAATTTATTGCGTTGGAAAACATCGCTGACCGTGATATTTGATTGGTTAGTGGTTACCGATCGTCTCTTCGATTCGTACGGTGGTTTCGCGTGTGTGTTCTTGAAACTGATAGCGAAATTGGCGTTGAAAAGATTTCGTTGGCGAATGATTCTGTCACCAAATCGTTAGATTTGATTTGTTTAGCCATGTTTCACACGAGACTACTCCGCATACGTAGTCATCTCTTGTGCAATGTGAATTTATGTTTAGTGATTACACTGAAAAGCTTTCAAGCGTACGTGAGTCTAGCGTTCAGCTGTCGAAGGAATCAGTTAGAGGTACATCTTGATCAAATGTTAATTTCTAGTTATTATCTTTCCACGGCTTTTTCTATCGATCCCGCGATAAAATATTTCGGATCTCTTGTTTTATTCCTTTGTGTAAACAAACATATTTTAAACGCGTCTTTTTGGACTCTTTAGATGTCAAAATACAATTGATGTGTTATTTCATGTCGTTGAAGCGTATCCTTGGAGTGTTGATTTAGTTTTGAAAACAACTCCAGTTCATAAACACACATCAAAGGCGAAACTTATTTTCTATTATATGCTTTCGACATGCTGCCCCCGCTTCAAGTAAATAAAAAATCTGCATACACTTTAGAAGAGATAGATCATGATGCAAATCAAGGGGCACTTAAAGATATTATTTTGCTGAAAAGTTTCTATCAGGGAAAACTCTTTGAAAATTATTAATTTCGTCGCCTGTCGAGCGAATTTTGTCGTTTATATTTTATTCGTGAGACTTCCTTTATATAGTAGCACCCCACTGATTAAGGGATTTTTCGAACTGTCTTCTACCCGTATTGGTTTCTCTCAGTCAATATGTATAATTTTTACCAAAGGAAAAACAAAGGACTGTTTGATCCCACTCTTCCTAACACCCGGGGCCCTCAAGCAAACAATACAGATCTCATATGTCAATTTTTTTTTAACCAGGGCTGCTATAAAATTGAATCTTTACATGAGCATTTTCAAACGATTTGCAGTCAGAATCTCACTCCCGACGATTGTCTGGCATTCCTGGTAGACATTTCTATCACTAACATCGATTCTTGACAACATTTTAAAACTTGATTAAGCTATTCTAATAATTCTGTTGTGTAAAGTCCATGTCGATCAACAGTAAATAGGTAAGTTTCCAACATACATGTACCCCATGACATGATAAAACAATACAAACAGTATTTCTTTTCTTTTTCTGCAATGTGCAAATTCATATTTCAGTTAAACATATTTTTTTTGATCAGTCACACTTTATTATTATAATTTATAATTCTTCAAACTGTTTCCCTATTCAGAAGACACTGTTTGCAGTTGACTTGTGCTTCTTAAATTGAAAACAGAGAGAATTTTCTTAAGTGGTCTGAAGAAGCACTATGTATATGGATATACCTTGTATGATCACTACACAATTTACATAGCAAAATTTGTATTTCATATTGTTCTGTATTTTGTAAGGCAAAACTATTTTAATTAAGCAGATACCTCTGTTTCAAATTTGATGAAGGAAAGTCTTTTAGGAGTTCTCCTTTGACAGATTTTTTGCATGAAATGCAGTATTTGGAGTACTATCTGCAAAATAACACGCACAAACTGATCAAGAACAATACAGACAATTTACAAAAAGTTATCCATTACTTAAGTTAGCTTGATTAAACATGACTTGGCCAGTGAACTTGATTGCAGAAAAAAAAAAAGTCTGTTCTATTAGCCAAGATTCAACATTCTTGCCAAGCTGGGCTTGTCCTGTGGTAAGACGATGTCTGTTAACATTTTTATCCTATGAGAAAGATTTCAATAAACTAGTTAGGTTCTTAGTGCTTGTAGAATTCGAAGATAAAATTATTACAGAAGACAACAGGGTATTTTTTTCACAGTTTTGTGCCTAAATTGTGAGGTCTCCATTGTGAACTGATATTTGTCATTTTTTGCTATGAATAACCACTCCCCACATCACTCGCCGACAGGAGTTCAATCAGTAACTGGTTAATAAGATGTTATGAAATCATGACTCAACTATTTTGAAACTTGATTAGCTCAATAAAATATGTCCCCTAAAAGCATATACTCTGGTTGTTTTTGGAGATAATATTATTGAACAGTTTTTATTCTATATTTTATAGACCTAATTAAAAACTGCAGGCATGCAGGATTAAACAGTGCTCTGAAAAGTCTCTTTGTTTCTCTCTTAACTAGTTAAACGATGAAAAATAATGGAATCGAAGGATGATTTATAAAAGTGTGCAATAAATTTTTCAGTGTGGTATTAAACTCTGTCAATCTGCAAGCAGTTATCTTGCATAAAAGTGACCTATGAAGTCCTGGAGACCACATGCTGAGCTGCTTTCTGAAGATGACAAAACATTTCCACAACTCACCAGAATTCATGTGGCCTCTTCTGTAGGAATGGCAAGTATTTTTAAACATAACTACATAACTGTCACAGTTAAAATCTGGGTAATTTTTAACACTTTAAGGACAAAAATGATCTCATTTAGTAGCAGAACATTATGGAGAAGTTTTGTGATATAATTAGCTAAATATGATGTTGATATACTTTTAGTGGTCATCTCTTTTTTTACTGTTAAATATATATAACTAAATGAAATATTTACAATACCTAATTTAAGATAAAGAATTGATACTTGTCAACCTTGAATACTAATGATCATATAATGGTGGTAAATACTGGAAAACTTAGTAATGATAAAACTATAAGTTGTTCGGCATTTTGATGTTACTTAAATTATTATCTGGGTAAAAATGACAGTTTTATTGCAGTGTGAATATAAATCAGTGGAACTAGTCAAGAGTAGTTGATATTTGCATGTGATCTCCATAAAATAGTTTGGTGTGGACAGAGTCAGTTTGGATGTTCAGAGTTGGCTTGAGATCTTGAATAATTATCATTTTATGGATAATTAGACAATATTAATAATAATAATGATGATGATGATGATGATAATGATGATGAAGAATGTAGTATTATTTTGGAATTTTTGATAATATAGGTGCTGTATAGGTGTAGTTTGTAATTTAAGGAGGGTACTTGATAATATTTAAGTATCCTGGCTAATACTTAGTGGGAAACTGCTATTTTTTCCGACACTGAAATAAAGTATTTAATTACTATTGTTAATAATGTTGTGATGATTATGACCATGGTGACAATTACAATGATAATGAAATAATAGAAATGTTTTCCTCATGTATATATTTAGAAAGCTCAATTTGCTTTCTTGTCATACAATGTTATTACTAAAAATACAATTAAAACTATAACAAATTATTTTCATGCCTTTAAAAGCTTCCAATATGATAATGTCCCTGTGCTAATCTTGAAAGATCAAAATTAAGGTAGATTGAATATGAAGTAGAATTTTGGAAGCCAAGGTTTTCTTGTAATCTGCACAATTTTTGTACACAGAAGGCAAATGCACAATGACAATAAGCCATGGAATTCACTACAACTTCGAATGAATTTATGATCATGTGATAGGTTGTTGCTCTCAGTAAGTTTTCCTTTTTATTGACATTGATAAAATGTCATGATTTTGTTAATGAATTAATTCTATTGGAGGCTATAATTTCTATGAAGTTAGACATTTTGACTGCACATGGTGATTGAAAGGTTAATTAAAGACCATAATTTCGACTTCTTTAAATGTTCCAAAAAGCATTCAAGAATTGGTGTTAGATCCAAAAAAAAAATTGATTTAAATTGGATTTCTTTTTCATAGACTTATCTCTTATGCACAAGACTCACGAATCATACAAAAATTCTCAGCATGACCTAAAAGTAGATCCACATGTCTTTGATGTTGAATTCAAAACACTTATTAAATAAATCAGATAAAACTATTTGCAGCTTATAAAAAATCAGAATCAGATAAATACAACTTTGAAGTTGAAAGTCATGCAATTTTAATTATGCTTTTTAGAAAATCACAAGCCTATCAAATCTTCATCTGACATACTCTTCATTTTTTGATAAAATGGTCAAACACATCTCTAGGCCATAGTGAACTGCACAAGATATTTATTCATAAGAAATTTTATGTGCTCAAATAATTTTCGTCACTTGAAAACACGGGTGAACAGTTTTAAATATTCCTTGCAGTCTTGTAATTCCTAGACTGATGTTTTTTATTATTTATGCAACAAATCAAATTGGATTTTCACAAAGTGGTTTTTAGCAAGTTTCAATGTGCATTAATTGATTTAAGAAAGCTGAATAATAAATGTCTCAAAACAGAAAAAGGTAAGAATTTTCATGTGCTGAACAGCATTTCAGTGTTCAAAAAGAGAAAAACAGAGGTACAGTGATTTGATTTGTCTTTTATTTGCTGTCTTGAGTTTCTCAATCAGTTGTATTTGTTATTCAGGGATTATGGAAAGAGCGAATTATTTCTTCAAAACAAGCTACTGGCCTTTACATACATGTACTTGTCTGAATATATTTGCAGTGATGGCTGACTGAAACCAAGTGATCATGTCTTCCTCTAATGTGACTTTGTATACATTTCACATTGTCCAAGTTAGTTTTGAAGAATTTCAATTTTCACCTCCATTAACTCAGTAACATTCTGATGTGCCTGTGGAAATCAGTGTTAATTTGAAATATTTTTCCTATTCCCAAGTATTTTATATGCATAAATATGTTTAAACATTTTTATAAATGTTCTGCATCTTTTAAATGGATATAAAACAAATCTCATGTTTGTTTTTAATGGTGGATATAAATATGTACACGAAGAAGTATTTTTATAGTTTTTCACTCTTAACTCTGTTTTTTTATATATATATTTGGATGGAAAACATTGACTGCTTAATGTAATATCTTCTATGAAGAGCAGCCAATAAGAACATCTCTAAATTATTTTAATTTGTTTATCAGGAGCCCATTGTTAGATGTTGATAAATTCTGTGTTGTAGTTGGTACTAAGAAACATAATAACAATATAGAATTGATGTCAAAGATGTGAAAGATAAACTATTTATTGGTGGTTCTCTACAACATCAGTACATTCAGTTGATAGGAATAGACAGGCCAACATTTCTGCTATTTTCTCATGCCTTATTTTCAAAAGAAAGCATAATAGCTAGAATAGAGAATTACTAAGCAAATCATGTGGGTTTAAGTTAAATGTTAACTCCAATACAGACATAAACCAACATGAAATTTTGACTGGGATTCAAAACAGTTACTTCTGGGAGACTTCTAATAATGTTCTCTAGGGCTCTTTGGAAATTTCACACAAATTAACTTTGAAACTGAATGTGAAATATTGAGTTAGAAGTGTATGGTGTGCTTTCTGGTTCCTGTGAGTTGATCAGAAATATTGAGAGTTTTAGATAAATTAGAACGTTTACTTAATGTTACAACCAGTTGATATGCTTTTGTTGCAGGAAATGACAGTAAATGATGGTGGATTTCTCAATGCCGTCAGGGATGGAAGCTGTACTCATGTGCTGAATCTGTTGCATGGAGGAGGGGTGGATTTGGAGCAGAGAGATGAGGTTAGAAATGTTGGAAATTAATAAGGAAACAAACTAACTAACAAACAAGGATACCAACAAAAACAAGGTCTTGAAAATTGTTGCTGAGTATCTTTGTTGAGCCCTGGAAAATTAATTCGAGTCTTGGTAATTAATGGCAATTGGGAGAAATGACCAAAAATGCTTTTCTATTAGAATTGCAAAGCAAGAAATACTGTGCATTGGATGAATGATGATTTTTTCATTAGATTGAAACCAACCTTTTAGTGGTGCATTGTAGGTTGTGCAGCAAAAAAATTCTGGAAAAGACTGAACCATTGTTTGTCTTGTAGTTAATACTTTATATTCTCTGTGTCAGAAAAATATGAAGTTTTACTTAACTTATGTAGCGTTTAGATGAAAATGATGTTGTCCATTTTAAGTAATATTAAATAAGTTGTATATGAAAATCAAATGAACCTATGAATTAATAGATTGATTATTTATTGGTAAAAGTCGCTCCCTAATAAGCAGTCAGTAACAAAAAGTTCTCATCAAACATTTTTTAATAGAATGGCCAAACTGCATTGATTATTGCTGCTGAAAAAGGGAACGTTGAAATTGTTCACGAATTGTTAAAGAGGAATGTTCAACTCAATATACAAGATGAGGTGAGGTCTGCCGTGGCCATTGGTAAATATAATTAGGTATTTCAATTTGAAGAGTTTAATGATTGCTTTAGAAGTTATTTCAGTTAGGACACTCTCTTAAACTCCTCTCTCTCTATTGAACTGCCTCATCTTATCTTATCTATCTGGCACCTCCTTCTTCTTTGATAATCCCCCTTGTTATAAGGTGGTGTTGCGTAGGACAAAACTTGAATTTGAAAGCCTGTTCATTTTGGTTTGAAATGTCATAGTTTTTTTAACCAAAAAAATGAATACTATAATGTTCAGTATTCAATAAATGTGGGCAAGAACTCAGATGTTAAATAAAGACTTTCATTTTGGCTCCCAGTGAGTTTTAACCAAGCCCCCCCCTACTTCTCTCATAGGTCGACCTCTCTTGTAACCTCACTTCTCTGATAAGCTCTTTCCCTCCCCCCCCCCCACACACACACACACACACACACATCTAAAAGTCCTAGACTTTGGGAAGCTTCTTGGAATATATTAGATAAGAACACTTAAAAAAACTTTGTAAATGATTATTATTTGACAATAGTAATAATAATAGTTATAATAATAATGTGAATAATAATAGGTATTTCAGTCAATAATTTGATTATTGATTCATCAATAAAAAGCATTAATGTTGGAAATTAACATGGTTCAAAAAATTCTGGAACTGAGTTTAGTTTCCTCATATCTTAGGATGGCTGGACAGCCCTTATTGCAGCTTGCAAAGAGGGGCATTACGAGGTTGTTAAAGAGCTCATGGAGAATGGAGCCAAAGTTCAGTTACCAGACTTAGTAAGTTCAGTATATCTGAATCATAACATTACGAGTGACCAAGATCATTGTGTTAAGTTCTGAGCAAGGGAGTCTGCTCTCTTAATGCACCTCTCTACCCAGAAGTATAAATTTGCAGCTATGGGAATAAAGCCCATGAACACCTACCGTATCTTTACACCTCTGTCACAATCCCATGACCAACAAAATATTCTCTATTATAGGGAGGTTGGTCTCCTTTGGTATGGGCTTCATACAAGGGACATGCAGACATTGTAAGGGAGCTGTTGGACTACGGTGCAGATCCTAACGAAAGAGGACAAGTAAGATACCATTTTAGAATGTTTGTAAAACGCTTATGTGAGCAGCCAGCCAATCAGAGAGGAGTATTTTGGGCCCAAGATGGAGAGGACCAATCCGCTTAAAAATTATAAAAGAATTTTGGATACCTTCGTTGTCATACTTGCAGTTGATTGACCCATTCTGGTCACATGTGCAGAAGATTCTCTTCTCTGATTGGCTGGCAACCAAGATAATCGTACTTTGCTACATTTAAAGCTGTTGTGAAGGTTTTGTGTCTGGACAAATTTTTTTTTGTAAACCTAAGTTGTGTGCAGCTTGGTGCCCAGGATCCCTTTATTTTTTTCGCTTAAATTTACTCGGAAAGAGATTGAGGAAAATAACTTGGGTTTTGAATTTCGTCATCTCATTTGACATGCGCTAAATGAAGCAACGAATTTCAATACCTAAAAGTATACGGTTCTGTTCCCGACATGGTTAAATATTTCATTCCTATTTTGCTGATATTTCAAACTTTTTTTTTTAATTTGGCGACATTTGCAGTGGAAATATTAATTTATAATACGGCAATGCATGTTTATTTTACTGTAATTCATCAGGAAATTATAGACACGACAATTATTTTAAAAATCCCGATAGTGTTGTCTATGAAACTTTGACTTATCACGGAATACTTTCAAGTCTACTTCGAGAAGACCAAATACTTTCGTGCTTTACCCCAGGGGTTTTGATAATGTTTGTCTTAAGCGCCTGCCGATGATTTAATAGGCGGCTGTGTGACTGTAAGGCGAAACCCAAACAGGAGACCAGCTCGCAGGCTGAACAGACGGCGGTGAGAGGTCTTATCGGTGGTGGTAGACCGCTAGTAACGGCATTTATTGAAACCCATGGCTTAAACTTGCAGCACAAGTAGAGTTGCTATAAAAAACCTTCTCTTGAAACGACAAATTTCGTAATACTCTTGCGTTTTCGCGCTGTTGTTTGATTGGATGTCGTGCAGAAGTTAAACGAGCGCCATGACGAGAATTTTCCGAAAGCGACTGTAATTTCGATTCAGTGTTTTTCCCTATTTATCTTTCAAAAAATACGGCTCTTGCGTAAATTACTATTGATGAAACTAAGAATAAAAAAACTTAGGATTTTGTGGAAGAACGGAAAGCATTCCTTAAAGTTTTTTTGGCATTGTTGATTTTTCTATTTCGGCTTCCCCATGGCTTCCTTGCAGGAAGTTTTGATGACTTATGCATGCCGCGAACCGTCACAGGGAAAAAATCAGGAAGCAACAGAAGTACGTTTACCCGACGACAATACGTAGTTAATTATTTATTTGTCTCGTGTAGAGCACTAGCTGTAATTAGTTTCCCGCGTAGAACAACTCAAGGTGGTAATTTCTTTTAGAGCTATATTTACTCGGGACAAACCATTGCATTTCTTTTTGTCTTAATTTAATGTGAATTGCTTTCAAGTTTGGAATCAAGTATTCTTTAATTTAGCTTTATCGTGCGCTTGATTTTTGTTCCCACAAAGTTGTATATACGTTCATTCAGTTGTTAAGTAAACGTTTCTTTTGTCAGCAGCAAAAACCTTTGTTTTGTCTTGTCAATTATAAATAATGCTCGGTCTTTCGAAAAAGTTTGTAAAATGACAGTTTTCACTCACCAGGGAAGCCGAAACACTTGCCTGTTGTTTATGCATTCGTCAAGTTTGCTATGAAAGTCTCTCGACTTCAAATCAATGATAAAATCTTTTATCTCTCTGCTTCCTATGACTTACTCTTTGAAGGCAATTGAATTGATAACGTTCTTTAGAAAAAGTGTTGTCGCTTGAAGGAAAGTTTTGTCTACAGAAATAAATCCGGTAGTCTGGTCGCGTTAGGACATCTTCGTATCCTTGCGTTATTAAGTGAAAGAGGATTAAATTTTTGTTTCAACTTTAAGCTGCTGTTTTTCGAGATAAATATTTTACCATCGCTGCTCTAATTGCATGCTAATTGAAAAAACTTCCATCGGCGATCTGCGTCAGTATTCATTTAATGCATTTCGGGTTTCTGTTATTTGGTTTTAGCAATTGTCTTTTAAATCGGCGCCACAGATCTGAGAGCTCAAATTCGACGGGAATATACTGACAGAGCATACAGTAAGATTTCTTTTCTTTGTAATCAAAGAATTGATAGGTGAAGGACTGTATTGATGTGAACAATTGTTACTTAAGATACTCTGACAGGTGCTCTTTGGCGTAGACGAATTTACTAGATTCTTCTCATCCGATCTGCGACAAAAAACCACGACAGAAACCGCGCATTTCAAGTTGCTCTCAAAACGAGCTCGGCGGACAGATTTGCTTAAACTCTGCTTTTTAAAAAATCCGGGTTATGTTTCTTCCTCAGGTCGCGCTCAACCGCAATCCAGTTGGGTAGACAATATATACATTCGTTTTGGTCATCATTCGCTGTGTCTTTAGATGTTGTTTAGTTTTGCATATATTTTAAAAGTCATTAACGATTCGTTCGGCAGGTGAATTGGGTTTAGTTCAGTAGGGACCGAACTGTGAGCAAATTGAGATCTATATTTTTTGTTATATCTCGTGCGGCTCGTTAAATCTAATTACACTCGGAAAATTTTGTTCGTGAGCTGGTCTCCCTTTCGGCACCATCTGAAGACAGCACTTAGGATGAATCCATCTAAACGTAAGTCATTCTTACAAGCTATAAAATAAATCTTACGATATCTTTTAGGTGATAAGTTGGAGTATATCTGACATCTCCAGGCATATAAGGGAATTAGCACACAACTGCGTTTGCTATTGTCAGAGATTTTTAACGACATAGGCTTGGTTGACACAAACACAAGTTTTCATTAGCACTTTACATTATACCTCATCGTACAAGCTTCTAGTTCAAATTTTAATTATTGTAAGGAATTGATTTTTTTATAAGGAACTGAGAAAAGAAATGACTTCCTTCCAAGAAGTTCTTAATCCCGAAGTTGTATACAACCGCATGAATTATGTAAACCAATATCAGAACGAATTTATTTTTTGCCAGTGTGCTTGTAACCCTTTTCATAGCAACGTTTTTCGATAATAATTCTTAGATTGACGCTTTCAATCATCGAGTAGACTGTTCATCCACACTAACGCTAAAAAACATTTCCTGATTTATTTTTCAAGGTACGGCGTTTTGTCTCTCTTAAATCTTGTTTTCATTTCCAAAAGACCTCATGCATGCTCTCCGTTTTGTGGACATCGAAGAGTGCTATTTTTTTCTTCTCTTTCAATGTTTTTATTCTTAATTTACCTTATTGTATGTTCCGATGAAAGCGGCTTTGGTAATTTTGATCTCGTCTCATTAATTTGAGTGTGTTTATTTTATTTCATTTTTATTTTATTTTGTGCCTCGTTTATTGTTTTTAAACGAAACTGCAGAACTGCGCATTCTGTGTCCGCGGGAAAAAAAATAAGAGACAGCTTTGCAAAAGATGTATTTTTTTGAGATTGCTTCATTGACTCGTATTTTATGAAACGTGATGATTTTGGTGGAAATAGTTATAGCACCCGAATTGAGTATCCTTATTTTTTTGTCTGTTTTGCGTGAAGTAGGAGACGATCGGTGATATGTGTACTATAGCTGATGGTATTCCTAGGCGTGAAATTATGTTTAATTTATGTGTGGTTTTGCTGTAATATGTGTCCCTTTTACTCTTAATTGGATCTTTCTATTCTCTTTCTTAAACTTGAGTTGAACACCGAAAATTATGGCATTTGAAACGATTTGGCAAATGTATGTACTTGTAAACGAAGGAGAAAGTTTCTTGTCGGCGTGTTTCAATTACAGTCGATGTTGTTATTAAACTCTGCGGAATACCCTACGTCTTCTGGCGGACACTTTACTATAAACAAAGACGGAAGTCTGTAAAAAAATTATTATCCTCAAAATATCTTAAAGCAAACTAATATGTTCTCAGATGGATGTCTGTAATTGGGTTAAGATTTATCCAATGACGTTGAATGGATCCACTTTCCTAAGCAGAGGTGATTATGCTGTGTTGCACATGCATTCAGACGGTTGTTGCTAAGCTTCTCTACTTTCTAGATCTCCGTGTGAGGATTTTCCCTCTCGTAAAAATCTCGAATAGAACGCTATTATCTTCGGTTCTGGAATTGGAACAACTGATACATTAGGAAGCACTTTTGCTGCAGATTTTCACGTCATTGTATCGATCAAAAAAAATTGATATCGACAGGAACTTCGAGGATTGTTGGATAAACTTAAAATGAACTATAAAAATAATCTAGAAAAAAATCTGTGGTAAGTTTATCAAAATTCGACGGTATGTGCAAATATGATGTACTGTCCCAACTTGAAGAACGTTTTCCATTGTGATGAAATATTGAAATATTTTTGCCCACTCGAGATTGGATTAAAGTCGATGGTACATCTGATGATATTTCCTCTTGGACATAATCTGTTCGCTTTCACGAAACAGATATGTCCACCGAAAAATATTCGAGCATATTTCCGCGCCAAACGGAAGCTGATGTTTATTTATTTGAGAACAGTAGCCGAAGGTCATACTATTTGCAATTTATCTGTGGTGTGTTTCACAGGTAATGTATTGCTGTTTTTCCTCTTTACGTCATTCAAATGGAAAATACTGGAGACCTAAGTAGGTCACAAAGGCGACAGTGAAGAGACCGTGGTGAATGAAAACATTTAGTGAGCAGAAAATAACTGCGGCGCACGTGCGTTATGAGGATTCTTGCAGTTGTTAGCTGTCATCTGTAAAACAATAAAGTAAAAGAACAAAATTTTGTCCATTCTGAGGACGGAAACACTGATAGCAAATTAGTTTTTTTTTTAACCCAACGTTTCCTTCATCTTTTATTTGGAAGTTACATCAGGTGCCGTTAGAGAAGGCAAAAACATCGAGCTATTCGACAAAATTCTAAAAAAAATTTCAGTTAATATTTTAATCGACCCTCACGTTCCGTCCCAGCATCTTTGTGGCTTCCACAAAACTATTTTTCTTTTTATACTCACTCTAAGGGTCTAAGAGTTATTTCATAATTCGCTTGAATTAAATACACATTTACTTTTGTTTCTGTCATTTCCTCAGTTGACCCGGCACGGAATATATATATATATAGAACGGGTCATTTTCCTCAATCGGTTGTAAAATTTATGTGTGTCTTTTTGGCGATCTCTGATAATTCGCTGGCCAGCAACTATCTAATACAAAAAGTACAAATATCCTATAAATATAGAGGATAAATGAATTAAGGACAACAGCAATACTTTTGACAAGCAAAGTGAATGCTCTGCGGTGTTATAATATGCGTGTAACTTGTCTTCGCACGGAAATTGATTGATGTGTGTGACTCGAATGAACGTTTTCTGCTATCGGTTGGTATTTCAAGACCATTGAAGATTTCAGCCTTTTTGTACATTAGTTTAGAAGGGAAATGAGATAATTTGCAACAAATCGACTCAGTCTGGCTAAACCGGGCAACTTCAAATGAAATTCGGCCAGAAATTAGTCTTAATACACTGCAGTTACAAATGTCGTCTTCACTAGTATGGGCAACAATCTTGACTTTCGTTAAATCTTGATACTTACCTCGTTTGAAGACATTTGATGTTGACTGTAGTCGATCTAAGAAAACATTTGTTTTGTGAGAGACAACACCTCGACTTTTTTTGAGAAACATTAACAAGGTCACGAATGTTCTTAAAATTCCTTTGGCGTTCTTTCCGGCAATGAGCGCTGTACTCAGTTCCAAAGATCGCCCGAGCGAGGCTGCTTCTAATTGGTCAACTGAGACTGCATTCGATCACGTGAAGGCCTGGCGTGACACATGTCTTGCTTTTTTTTTTTCTTCTCAGCATGGTATGACAGCCCTTATATGGGCATCAGGACGGGGACACACTGAGGTTGTTGATCATTTACTGGAAGCTGGAGCCAATCCTGACGCTGCTGACAAGGTGCGTGACATGTTTGTGTAGATGACTCACGCGTGGATCTAAAGATTGATGCCTTGTCGTCGCATGTAAAATTGTGTCAATGTATCCGTATTTTTCCTCAGGATATGTTCAGTTTAGGCCGGGTCCTCGGGTTTGAGCTTTCGTCATTGTATTACTGAAATTTTTCCTTAGATATCTCAAACTTAGGCTGGGTCCCCGGGTGTAAACAGAACTTGTGTCTAGTGTAATTCCCCCCCTGGATATCTCTAACGTAGATCGAGTCCCAGTTGTGGAACTGTGTCGGTGGATCACTGTAAGTTAACCGTAGATATTTCAAAAGCCGGTTCGCCGAAACCAGTTTTTTTGCTCCCCCGATAAATTTTCTGTCAGGAGGCTAACTTCCCATTTGCAAGCTTGTCCTGTAAATCAATGGCATTCCTCTGGCTAGAATAGTTTTCGTTTTTTCTTGTTTCAGTATGGGACCACCGCTCTTGTTTGGAGCTGCAGAAAAGGACACTTAGGAACTTGTCGAAGTCTTGTAGCAAAAAACGCTAACGTCGATACCGCCAGTAGTGTAAGTAACTTAGCATTGCCATGGATACTGTTGCTATGCTGCACTTCATGTTGAACCAATCAGCTGCAAATGTGCATTTGCTTTACATTTTATTGCATTATGCATGCGCCAAGTTCACAATTTATATTCTGACGGTGTATTACACTTAAATTGAGGCGTATTCTGCAGTGATTTTAGCTTTGAGGCCATAAGAAGAAACTTATCATGAGACAGTTTTATTTGGGTTATTTTAGAGAGGTTGGACCCCGTTAATAATGGCAGCAAAAGGTGGTTACACAGAGGTAGTGGATTGTCTCCTGGAAAAGGAACCACACATAAACGCTACAGATCAGGTAAGAATAAGATTTTAAAGACAACACTGTCTATTCATTCCTTTTTGAGCATGCCCCAAAATTTTTTTCTGAAATAAATTGGATAACTTGGATTAGCAGTTAAAAGATATTTTAAGGTGATGATAGTTCTCTCACTGATTTGAAAACAGGAAGGGAATTCCGCGTTGAGTTGGTCAGCCAAGCATGGGCATGAAGAGATCGTCCAACGACTTTTGGCAAGAGGGGCGTACTTTAATTTACCAGATAAAGTAAGTGATCCTCTTTTGAATAATTTTAGGCAATCTTCAACTGGATGTCGAGAGACTGCATTGATTTTGCTTCACTTTGCTCCTTGCTTGATGCAGAAAACTCGCGCCATTCTCTCGACCAATCAGATGCAGAAGTAAAACCAAGCGTGATTTGAATGCCCGCGTTTTCCCGCGCTTGAGGCTGTGTTCACGTGTTTACTTTGAGTTCTGATTGGTTCGTTATGTTGTACATCTTTTTTTCTGATTGGCTGTTGGGATTGCTATGGTTTTAGACACTAAGTCGAACCACGTTCTGTTGGAAACGATTTTAACCCAAGAAATATAATTATATTCAGTGCGGAGAGGTTATTGTTTTCTGCGTAAATTTCTGCTCGTGTGCATGTACAGATTATTTTTCTCTTCTATGCAAGTGAAGGAAAAAACGAAAAGGAGAAGTGATTTTTATTGCTATAGATTTTTTTCTTTGGCCCTAATTAGAGATATATTTTATCGACCTTAAAAGGAGGCAATTATAAATAATTATTGTCTATCGAATCACTATAAGTGTGTTCTCCATTGTCAATTGCTCGAGGCGTTTTTCGACCGGAAGAAACCAATTTTCCCATACGCCCCTAATTTTTGGGTTGAAAATTATATCGAATTATGGTCTAGAGCAGCTTTTTTTTAAAGTAGTTTGTACTCGCAGCCTATTAGAGAAGCTCTTTATTAAGTAAAGTAAAAAAAAAGCGTAGGTGTTTTCGAGCTAGTGGTCAGATTTGGCTTCGATTCAATTAGTAATTTCCTTTAAAGCCCATTTAAATGGGTTGCATGAAACGTGGTTTTTGCGTCACCATCTTGAAGTGGGCGTAATTTGTAAAATGTAATTGCCCGGAACTTTCAATTCACGGTTCATGTTTGTCTGTTACCGATTTTCTGTGCATGTTCTTACGGTTTCCAAGTACAGTGAACCGGATGAGCAAGGTTTATTCCACTTATTGGAAGGTTAAAGCTTTCGAACCAGGGACAGATGTTTGTAAGTGTAGACGACAGAGTTTTGTCTGATAATGATCTGAAATGATATTCATTGAGGTTGATAGATAACTCAGCTAAGTTCACCCTTGAAGCTTTTTGTTCGTGCGGTTTCTGTTGACAATTTAAGCTGTTTTATTGCGAGTTTTGGTTTTTAAAAGTGAATTCTGAGGTTTTGTCCTCGATCAATGGTAAGTTGCTTCAAAGAGTTTCAAGTTTCGAGCAAGCATCTTCGCTTGAGTCTGCAGTCCGCAGCGAGCGAAACGCCCGCCATTGAAAAAAAGGCACCACTTTGGCAAATTCAACAACGCTTTGGGTGTTTCAATGGAATGTAGGAACTGCTTTGGATTGAAATGTGAATAATTGTGGCAAATTGGATGATTTCAAATAGCTGCAGGATCACGTGAACTGTAAGCGATACGCTCTGAATCAATAACGTCTGTGACTTCAATGTTGTATAAGAAGTTTTAAACAGAAAGTTTTTGTTTTGCTTTCAGGAAGGCGAAACTGTTTTAATCTCTGCTGCAAGAGACGGCCATTTAGAGGTTGTGCGGACATTGTTAAGCAAATATGCAGATGTGGAGGCTGCAGACACCGTAAGTTTTTAAAAATGAACATTTTGAACGCAGCATTGGCTGCTTCAAGGCCCATTTGCAACAATGGAGTCGTTTTGAATGAACTTTACAGTTTCTGTTTTGGTTTTCTGTAATATCAGCTCTGAGGAACAAAAGCAAACGAGCGGAATATGGCGCTTATTTACTAAAACATTTCATTTCCACCTCCTGGTGTTAGGAATAACATCATTGTTCCAATTCTATAGAATCTGTTTGCTTAATCAAATCGTTTTAAAGTCGTGTCGTGCTGATCACAGGGAGTGTTTTGTTGATGATAAATGCCGCTCACGTCTCGTTTGACTACAGTAGTCTTGCCGCGTATCGCAGATTTTTCATCAGCTAATTTGCTGGCGGTTGTTTCATGTCTCGTTCCTTCGAGTATCGTTTTCAGACGCGCAGGCTTTCAAAGGTCAGTCTCTGGTCATAACTTTCGAATGTACTACGTCATTATATCTCTTGGGGGACACATACACGACTTTTCAGAGTTCGCATCTCTTATTTACCTTATACACGGCTTGAATTTTATTCCAAATTGTGTTGAAATGTTACAGTAAGTAAGCGATATAAAAATTACAGCTCTACGTCTCAGAGGCCGATGCAATTCGACCGGGTACGTACGCGAAGAGCTATGTGCTTGCATTGCCATATGTAGTTAATTTTTCCCATGTAACAAATGAATTAACTTTTGGTCTGGAGCAGAGCATATATCCAAGCTTGTAGCGTCATCTGTTATTTTATTGTCGAGTTTAGGGCTATTCTGAAGGTTTTTTTTCTCTTTTTTTTTTTTTTTCCAACCTAATGTCTTAATTCCTAGACAGCATGGCGTCGCTGTAGAAGTACCAGATTATTTCAGATTATTTTTAAAACAGTAATTAAGTGAATAAGTAGACTTATTTTGACGGACTAAACCAAATAGTTCTCTTATAATGCATGAAAATGTAAAATATTTTAATCGTAATAATTTCGTGACGTGAGTCACAGATGGTGACATTTTTACTTCAATAAACGGCTTTGATAACAAAACAATTGAACAGCAAGTTTTGAACTTTTTGGAATAATAAATACAGCTTGGCTTTAAAATTTTAAGATAAATGGAAAAGCTGATAACTTGTACAATGGTTGAGTCATTAATATTGCTAAAATATTCATTGCTTTTGATGCAAAGAGTGACAGAAAGGAGGAATGGTTTGTTATTTCGATACCGGAAAAACTTCAAGAGATTTTGACTCTGGAAGGTTTGTTAAAAATAGTTTCGCATCCTAGTTTCGATTGCTTGTTTTTTTTTAAAGAGCAAATCGATTTCGCCTTTGTGTGACTTCGTATCAAGACTTCTCATGATTTGAAGTAGTCCACAGCCGCTGTCTTTAATAGTCGCGTCTGACATCGCTTTGTCGAACTAGGTAATCTTTCAGAGATTGGTACATCTTTAAACAGAGCGGAACTATCCATATCGCGCCATCTTTGCGTTGCTACTCAAATGGGATTTTTTTTTGACAACGGGAGGCGAAGATTTTTAATTCAAACTGATAATCAGGCATTGTTTTGACAGCGTTTGAATGATAGTGGTCTGAAGAGTGAGATAATGTGATGGAATACAATAGTTCGCATGTTTGTCCAATGTGTAAGCATTTACGTTTGAAGTACGGATCTCTTATAACAGACGTAGTTTTGTAGATGAACTTCCTAAGAAAGCCTGGATGCAGAACTAAATCTCTTTAAGCACTCACGCGACCTTTTCTTGTCGAGCTCTTTGTTACATTGAGAAATGGTAAATGACAATGTTTTGTTGTCCGTGCTGTCCAGTGGACCTTTTAAATAGAGCTTATTTTTAGATATCCATCAGTAAACGAAAGCTGTGGTTGAGCTGCATGCTTTTGTGTTCTTTCAATGGACGGTGTTTGTAAATAAAACGTGAATTATTTCTCTTGTCAGGAGAGCAAGACAGCTTTGTTTCATGCAGTTGAGAAAGGCCACGTCTTAATTGTGAAGGAGCTTCTAGATGCAGGAGCGAACACAGAAACTCAGAACAAGGTTTGTAATATGCTTCAATGCGTTTTCATAGGTGGAATTCATAATAGCGGACACCTTCTGTTTCACTCTTGTCTACTTGACTCGTCATATAGAAATCTTCTTTTCGAGTTAACATAAATTCATGTTTTTCTGTTGTTCTTTTCACGGGTGAAGAGGCTTAAAGCTGCCTTTTAAATTAAGTGTTGCCATTTTGTCTTCTCGCCATTGATACCCGGTAACAAGATAGATTTCAGAACAAACACATTTTCAAGCAGATTCTATTACCATACTCTGATCTTAAAGATTTTCTCGCGCATTCGAAGATAAATAAAAAGAAAATATTGCAATGCATTTTGTTAGTGTTTTTTACCTTCTCTTTAACTGTGTTATTGCAGGACGGTGAAACGCCACTTATCAGAGCCACACAAAAGAAGCACACTGCAATCGTATCTCTTTTGCTTGAAAAAGGAGCCAGTGTCTCCGTAGCAGATAAGGTACGTGATGTGTTTGTCCTGTTCCCTGTTTCGAAAAACGCTACACAGAGAGGAGATCAGCATGTAATCACTCCTCTCAATTCCAACTCATTATTAAGAAAGCAGGTGATAAAATACAAAATTTTATCAAGTGGAGCATGTTTCTTCTATGCTACGCTGAAATCTGATCTGGTCCATATGGATTTACAAGGAAACGATGTAAGGAGTGAAATTCAATAATCAGATTTTGTGAAGTAGGGGAATAGCAGATTAGTGTAGTAATGTAAAAGTACGTAAGGCTTTTGTAAACAAACCCATTTTTAACCTCTAAGATCTTCACTTTAGCACGAATTAAAATACATGATGTTCTCTTGAAAAACAATCATTCGATGAAAGCTCGTCTCTCGCACGCCTCACTTGACCCCGTTTTGACTCGGGTTTGTTTATCTCAGCGAGGAGATACCCCAGTTCATATTGCCGTCAGAGGAAGATACCGACGCATTTGCGAACTCCTGTTAAGGAACCCAAAGGACGCTCGGCTTTTATATCGTCCCAATAAATCCGGAGAAACACCGTATAATATCGACAGACAGCACAAACATAGTCTGCTGACGCAAATCTTTGGCACTGGTAAGGTTTCTGTTGAGTTATTTGTCTAAAATTTTATCTAATCAAGTTGTGTATTTTGTAATCCGCGTAAATCTTCTCCATCTACCACCATTCTCGTTCATTTTTGGTTTATTTGTTCCATTTTGTTGTTCATCTTTCCTATCAAACCAATATTTTGTGTTTTTCGTCGTGTTCAGGGTGGTTCTGCGTTTCGCAACCCTCAACTACATATGTTGAATGTATCTGAAGGCTTTCATCTAGGAATCATATTGTGTTTTTCTCGAATTGATGTGGAGTATGTGTTTGGAGACAGAGAAATTACCGAAGGTCTTTCAAATATTAGGTCTTCTCACGAGAGAGATTTTCAATTCGCAAATGAAGATTCATAGCAATTGAACTTGAATACAATTATTTCAACTTTACCCAATACCGAATATGCTCTACACAGTTCATTACAACCTCTTGAATGTTTACCAACTGTTCTAGTCAGTCTTTCTTTCGTTCAAGTCTTCGTTTGGAATTTGCAGTCTTGTGAAAAATTAATGACACGTTTTCAGAACTCAGGTTGACATTTAAGTGGTGAGAAAAATACAGCATTGCTTGTTTTAGTGGGACTTCATTACCAATTTCCAAAGGGGAATTAACTAAATGTTGTTCCAAGATCTCTCTTTCAAAAGGGCTCGAGCATTATCTGAAAACTCTAGTAATGATCAGACTCGCTATAGAGTTCTCTGCAGCTCATTGGTGGAGCGTCAGAGCGCGGGGACCGAAGGTTTGGGGTTCGATTTATCACGGGAACTCGGATTTTTTCTCTGCTCCACGCTTGTGACAGGACAAATAACACTATTTGAAAATAACTCATTATGACGATGTGCTTATCATTTTTAAAAAATCATAGTTGACTCGTTTTGTTCAGAAGATAGTCTTAAGTATACTCTGTTTACAGGTCTTTTTACTCCGGGTAAGAAATACAGTGAGGAAGTGATGGGTTATGAGGTCTACACCAGTGCCTTAGCGGACGTATTGTGCGAGCCTTCGCTCACCATGCCGCTGACTGTTGGAATGTATGCGCGGTGGGGGAGCGGCAAATCTTTTGTTTTACGGAGGTTGCAAGGTAAAAATTGAAATCAATAGTTTTCTGATTTTAATAACTGAATGATATTTTTGTTTCTTTTCGTTTGGGTTCTTTCTTTCATCAAATATAGTCAGATTCTCTAAGGGAGAAAAGAACTCATTTATCTTTTTCGCGCTGCCAGCATTCGGTCTTACACCTCAGTTGGTAACAGCACTCAGCTAGTCTCTGGCACAGGCAAGAATTTTTTTCGATCAATGAAATATCTGAGCAACTGCCCACCTGCCCTTCCCTTAACTCAACATTAACCCTAACTTGTTATCAATTGAGTGCTTATTGCGGGTAAGTGCGTAGTTCCTCGGATACTAACATCGGTCCAAGTTTTTCAGCCTTCTTTTTCTGCAATTTCTAACGCCATGTCTCTGTTTCGTTTGTTTCAGATGAGATGCGTGAGTTTGCTCATCAAGATCTTCGTCCAATGTTTCACTTTTCTCGCTTCATATTTGTAATTCTTCTGGTGTTCTGCGTAGTGATTGGTGTTCTACTCGCGGCAACTACGAGTCTTGCCGCTGGCGTCGTCGTAGGAGTCGGTATTTTCGTGACATGTTATCTGCTGTTTTTGTGCGCGTATGTGGCAGATAGACGCTACAACCGCGGAGAACCGTCTTGCGGCATAGGCGGTTACGTAACCAAGGCGGTGGGTACCGTAAAATTGTTGAGCCAACTGGTATTTTGTATTCCTCCGTGTCCGAGTGCCACGAAACCGAACATGCCAGTTCGCTTCCTCTTCACAGACTTTAGTAAATTGACTTGCAGTGGAAGCGAAGCGGCTTCATTGGTCGGAATGATTGAAACGTTATGTGACGTTGTCGAGAAAGAGTTCGGATTTTTCGTGACGAGGTTATATAGAGTGTTTCGGTCCCAACCTTCCGATTATGATGAATCGACGTTGACAGAGGCGCGCTGGAAACGCTGCTGTTGTTGTATACCAACGTTCACGATATTTCTTGCGATTCTAGCGCTTGGTATGATCGGCCTTGTGTTTTTCAGAGTGTACGGGACGAAGGGCAGTTCTGTTATAACAGGCATAGAAATCGCATCTGCTTCGATTGTGGGCGTGGCGGTTTTGATTCACCTGCCCACCCTGTGCTCAATCTTATACTCCTTGGTTTTCTCGCAGAAGAAGCGAATTTCTGTGGTAGCCACACAGCTGGGTTTGAAAGAGGAGGGATTCATCCACGCGCTGAAACAAGAGGTAGAGCTCTTAACAGATTTGGTAAATTGCGTAGATGGATTCACCAGGCATCAGACAAGAGTTGTGATAGTAATTGACGGACTTGACAACTCGGAGCAGTCGAAAGTGTTACAACTTCTGGACTCTGTAAACCTACTTTTCACTGATCCTGAAGCGCCTTTCATTATATTAATGGCTTTGGATCCTCGAGTTATCATCCGGGCAATCGATCAAAGCTTTAGCAGTATTCTGCGAGAGTCTCATATCAGCGCGTGTGATTATTTAAAAAGCATAGTACAGCTTCCATTTTACCTTCCTGAACCCAAGTCTAATTACACCGGAGTGTTGTCGACAGGGGTTGTCACCCTACTAGATGAATTGAGAGGTGAGCTTCAGACTGATAATCCAGGTGCAGCGGAGCGCTCCAGCATGGCACGTTCCAGTGTGGCCGTGGACGATCTAGAGTGGGACGGAGAGATGTTGGAATTCAACGAGGGTGACAACTGTCTCCCTCAGGGGCATAGAGTATCACGGGATTTGCATAACTGTAACGGAGGGGTGCCGAGTCGGATCCATCCCGAACTAGAGCTGCATCACTCCATGCTCTATGAGCCAGAGTCTCATGAGGAAGAGCGCTGTTTGGATCATCAGAAGCTTTTGGACCACGAGTTGGAGCTCGAGGAGCGTCGCCGTATCTCAACTGACCTTGCGCAAGTGCTTGCTGACAACGAGACTGTAAATCCTCTCGGCGTGAAACGCCTCATGAATATCGTCTCTTTAACGTGTCGTCTGCTTCGTGCGCGCGGTATTGATTACTCATGGAAGCGTCTTGCAGCCTGGGTCAGTGTAGTTGATGGATGGCCGTATCGGACATCCTGGCTTGTTCTTCTAATCGAGGACAGCAACACCCGTTTGCAGGATAATGTACCGTTGAAGGATCTTTACGAGGCGACATTGTCCGCCATGCCAGTAATCAATGAAGTGGATTGCGCAGTGGACGGAGACCCTGTGTATTTTGAGACTTTCCTCGCCAGTCATCATCCGCTTCTGAGCACGTCTGATGTGAGGCGTTTCCTGCCGTGCACTGTGCATTTGGATCCGTCGTTACGTAGGCAGATGGTAGAGTGTTTGCATTCAGGAACCAGCGTAGCGGGCAACAAATCTGATACTGGTAGCGTTGGCAAGGGAAATCCACATTTGCAGGTGAGGGGTCGCTAGGTAAAAGGTTAACTTTGTTGTTAGCATAAGTGAATTGGAAATGTGGAAATTAAAATGAGGTACCTTGTGCCTTCTCTGAACTTTAATCTTGGTCCCAAATAACTCGACAGTAACCATGAAAACGTTGCGCGTGGTCTATAAACTGTGCGCCTACTTGAAGCGCAGGTCACACATCTCAGTATTGTTGTTCTTATTGTTCGTCATGTCCACTTTACATTTATTGAGGCCAAACTTTTAATTGCTTTGCTTTGTTCAACGTGCTCGATGAAGCTTGCATGTTTGCGAGCTGCTGAAACTTTAATTATCGAGTTTTGGAGACTATTAAGGATTTGTAGAATTTGAATTAAATCTTTGGTGAATCATGTTGCCACAAAATCATACTTTAACCCTCGTTACACTCAAACTGCTTATTTTTCTTCTCGCTTCCGCTGATCCATTGTTGCAGTAATGCGTTTCCATACCAAGGACTAAACCACTTTTTGGGTCGGTTAACTTTGATCGGAGGTGAGGGTGGAGTAGGTGAAATAAGCCTATTATTTTGCTTGGGATGAATGTTGCTCTAACAGGGCAAAATGTCTCGACAGTTTTGTGTAAAATGGTGGATACAGTGAATGGTTTGAACCTGGTGGTTTATTGAGAAGGATTGTTGTCGGTAGTGGTGACTACTAGTCATAACATTGTTGAATTGCTTTCTGCAGCAATGTCGAACTGCACTCAAGCGTTTTATCCCCACTAAGCGCTGTGCAGCTAATACCCACAGCTCAATCAATGCGTACTGCAATGCCCAGTTATCAATAAATCATGAGTAAGAGTTAAATCAAAGAAACTCCTCTAACGAGCATGACTGTGTTTTTCAGGTCGGCTCCATAGGAAGATCTGACAAGCAGACAAGCTTAGCTACTTTAACTATCGAAGATGTTTGCAAACAGGTAGGCCGAATAACTTTAGAATTTGTCTAACTTGACTTTAAAACGGGCGGTTTTCAATTCCACATACAATTCTTTTGAGGTTAGTTTGGAGAATTTGGTATTAGATCAACTATTCATCCCCTGATTGAAATTTTTCTTTTTCCTCATCACTCGACCGCTTAATATTGTATTTATATCGTAAGGATTCAATTATGGGATTGGAAGGGTTAATGTTATAAAATCGGAACAAGTTCCAGCTTGATGGGCGAAATGGCTTATTTGCATGCAGGCCTTGTCTTCACCTTTGCTTCTTTTTCGCTCTACAGCTCGCTGAAATGGAGGGTTTGGATCAAAAGCAGATATCAACTTATCAGACCGTCGTAACAGAAAATAACATCAATGGTAAAGTTCTGGCGTCGTGCGACTTATCTGAACTTAGCCACATCATGGCGATGACGTTCGGTGATTGGCAGCTGTTCCGCGCATGGATTCTAACAGCTAGAAATCCAAATCAAGAATGTACAACGTGGTTAGTAACACTGTAAATCTATGTCGATCTTTCGCAACTTTTTTTGTTCCGTGAACTTATTTTGATATTCATTGTACAATATTTATCTTTTGCACGCGCTGTTTGTTATTTTCTTTGCTTGAAATAAGTACCTAAAATCGAACGGTGTTCCTAAGTACCAGGGGAATGGATCGAGTTCGCACTGGAGAACGTTATATCGGGGTGGGGGACCGGAGTTCCGATGTTCGTTTCGTAGGATCTTCGATCTAATGGAGATCCAATTTTGGATACCTTGGTACGAAGGGGGGGGGAGGGGGGGGGCAGGGAGGGTATGAGTATGGGAGGATATGTATTCTGTGTTAGGGCTTGTTTCCTCGTGGTTTTACTCTGTTAAGCAACCAGAGGTGTGGGATTTGCGAATGGTGAGCGCATATTCCCGGTAAGCCTTGAAGCAGGACCACCGGTGGGTTTCATGCATGCTAAACCCACTACAGCATTATTTAACCAAGCTGGCTGGCTGACTGGCTGGCTGGCTCGTGCGCCTTTCCTAGTTAAAGTCTCGCTGCATCATAGCGACTCGTGCATGACGTGCGTTATCTCTCTCTCATGTCTCATCTTCATTTGTGAACATTACAGTCACATTCATTTTATGTTCACTCAAGTGTCCCTAGTGTATTCATCTGAGCTCCTCCTCGTTCATTTCTTCCAGTCACTTGAGTAACAGATGCGTAAGTCCAGGAGAGATGAATTGCCAGCTGCTCAAGACATCCTCCTCAGGTTAGATAGTTAGCTGCATGCATGCTATTTTGGTGAAGTTTACATCACTGGCATTAAGCAACCGGAAGTATTGCTACACTCCATCCACGCATGCTAGTTGTGGTTCATCATAGTTTACACCACTCTCCACCCCGACGCTGGTACTCATCTAGACTCCTGGGTGGGGAGAGGTACGGAGAGGGTTTAGAGTATTGCGTAAGATCACTAGACAATGACCTCAGCTAGAGGTCGAACCCAGACCTCTCAACCTAATACACCACTCTGAACAAAAACCCTTTTGCTATTGAACAGTGCTTTTTATTGCTTTGGTAAGATTTTTTAGTTTTTTTTTTTAAACTTTAAATAGCAGAATCATTCAAGAATACGCGATTTTATTCATGTTTAGTAATCTGTCTTCCAAGACTAATTTACACTCAATCATTTTTCGTGTGTTTTCTTGTTGAAATCTTCAGGGGCATGGGATCACGCCAATCCGCTGACTGCCCCTGGGAGGAGCAGCGCAGATTCAACGGAACAAGCTTCACTAGAGTTTCATTCATCGAAAGCCCCGGACATAGTACTACAGCCTCCGTCGGCGCCGGACAGCGAGGAGGAAGACAATAACGGGGAAACGGTTAACACGGCCGAAACAGAACTTGAAAAAGATGAAAACGTAACGAGAATGAATGAGTTATCCGATGGCGATGAAGATGAAGGAGCAGGAAGCTCCAGTGCTGGCTTGAATCAGGTCAAAATTAAGGAAGACAGTGTTCTCATTTCGCTAGAGGACGATATTAACCTCCCACCCCAGCCTCATCTTCAAGCAGCGTTTAAGAACGATGATGATAATGACGACGAGCTCCCTGCTCCTCCCCTTAGCGGTACTGATTTGATTACGTTTAGTGAATCTGAAGACCAACGCGAACGTTCAGACGTTGAGAACGATATTTTTGTAGTTCAGCCGGGTGCTTCGAATGCACAAGGAAAAGCAATTAATACCCCACCAGTCATGGAATGCACGTGTGAGAATCTAAAGCTCATGGAGCCTGTCCAGGAGCGCAAATCGTCCAAGAATTCTCTGTTCTTTGACACGGAAGATAGCGTAGAGGTTGGTCGTCCTGCACCCGTTGTTATTACACTGAACAGAAACGGACCGGTTAAGGCTGCTGTGGCCGTCAAACGAAGCAATAGCTCATCAGGGAGTAGCACAGGTAGTTCCAGTTCAGGTCGATTACCAATTTCACAATCAGTTTCTACTGATGTCCACCACGAGAAATCTGCCCCCAGTTTTTCTCCCTCAATACGACAAAATTCTCTCCCGGAGCCTAGTCACGTAATACGACCCCACTCTGCCTCGGATGTTGTCACTATCGAACATCGGCCCAAATTTTTAAGAAAGAGCCCGCCGGTTGATTCGGACAGCGAACCTGAGTCGTTCGCGCAGGCGTCGGATCCGTTGATTCCCGAACCAACGAAAGAAGATAAAGACTTACAGCGCTGTAGTCGTGATTCAAACGACTTTCCACCACCTCCACCGTCCATCGAAGACAGCTCAAATTTCGACCAAGGGGACTGCCCTTGGGTGCCACTTATGAATCGATTTCAGGTCGAGGCTGGTGGTTCGTCTGTGTCAGAAAGCGAGCAACCGCTGTTACCGGATCGTCGTCCCAGGCCTAAATCGTCAACGGGTGTGATTGAAAATAAAGCGCCCAAATTTCGCACGTATACTCCGAAACCAAAACCAACTTACGTGGAGACGAAAAGTAACCAACATCAAAACCTGAAAAGCGAGACTTGTGTGTGATATGTGGAGTTTTACGGAATCTTTCGGACGACAGCTTTGATTTGACTTAAATTCAGGAAATTTACAGAAGGGTGCAAATGACAGGAGAGCAGTTTGAACAATATCATGGTTGTTATGGTTTACAGGAAGAACCGACCGTGATCTGAAAGCGTTGTATATATTCTAGCGTGTAGTGAGATCAAGTCTAAAATCCTGAAGCTAAAATTCATTTTGAAAAGAAATTCGTTGCATCCTTTGACGAGGTCATTCTGTCTCTCAATATTGAAGGTGTGATAGGAATTATTCCATCAAAATGATCAGATTTTAAGAATCGAGTTAATTTGACATTTCTTTTGTTGAACAATTTATTTGAAATTGAAGTGATAAGAAGCGTGTTTGAGATTTAATCTTTTCAGTTTTTTAAAAATTACGCAAACTTTGAGCTCACGAAGCACCGAATCTTTTACAAGTAAATGATCAAGTTTCTAAGCAATGCTAGGTATCGTGGAATTTTGTTTCCATAGTTTCGATACTCGTTATTTTGATGAAAGAGCGCTTTTCGATTGAGTGTCGTAGAACCAAAAGCAAAGTAGTTCACAACGGCCAATCAGATAAAAGGAAAAAATCATAAAGAGCCAATGAGAACTAACAAGTAGAAACAAGCTAACCGCCTAAAGCGCGGGAAAACGCGGGTGACCAAGTCGTGATTGGTTTTAATTTTGCATCTCATTGGTTGAGAGAGTGGCGCAAGTTTTCTGGACCAATTACAGAGCAAAGTAAAGCAAAGACAAAGCAAACCCGGATTTCTGTTGACTCTCAATTGGAAATTGCTCCAGCAAAGACAATTCGTTCGTTAGATTTCTGGTATGCCGAAAGCGTATTGTCTAGCTTAAAGTTCAATGTTTGAACCTGATTTTTATGTACGTTTTTTAATCTGTTTTACTATTATATATTTATATATACCTGCAAAGGTGAAACCAATGACGTCAGCATATGTAATATTCTTAGTGAACCAATCATAAAACAGAAATATCTTAGCCTAGAAAAACACGGGAAAATAATTGGCGTTAACCAAGGAAAGTGCCGTTTTTCCCCCATCCGATTGGCCAGGGACTCAAGTATTAGATCGATTTCAAACTCAATCAAAGTAAGAGCCTAAGCGAGTGATTCTTTTTCGAATTTGCTAGCTTGTTGATATAACCTTGAAGTGACTTCCTCAAGAAATGATTTCTATGGAGTTGCACAACACTCCATCGCAATTGCAGTCTATTTATTTACAGATATAAGTTGTAAGTTTACAAGCTCGAGAATGAGTTGAGAGAACGAGAAATTATCAATGAAAAACGATCAAACTGTGATGTGTGTGTGGTGTCAATATTTGTGGGTTTGGAAGCAAGGTCTTCTGCAGGGGAGGGGAGAGGTTCAAAACAGTCGTTTTCCCAGGATACTCTTGTACGAATTAATCCTTGGACCAAAATCAAACCAATTTCGTCTGTGAAGCCTTAGTTAGTAAAATGATTGATGTTGATACAAACAAGATTCATATCCACAAGAAAGACTTAATGTTTCAAAAGTGAGCAGTATTGTAATCCCGAAAGGACCCACTGACTTCCTTTTCATCCATGCTTCGACAAAATACTGGTGATATTATCAAATTTATAGATTAAACCAAAACGAACTGGGAGAAGATGGAACAAAACTAAGATATCCTTTAATAAGAAAGTACTAGTAAGAGATCAAATGGTACAAAGCCTTGAAATGTTGTTTTAAAATAGATTTATTTGATTTTTTTTGGTGATTACCTTTGTACAACTACCACTACTACAACATAATGAACCCTCGCAATTAAGTGAATACCAAGAACTGCAAGTTAACGAGCCATAACTGCGACCAAACTTTCCAGTTCAATCGAAGACCAGGACATTGCGTAACAAGGTTCTTTGCTCACGCATCACGAGGCTATGTTCACGCTGGTCTTCGATCCACTAAGAGGTGCACACAGTCTAAAGAAGCTACAAATTACGTCACTAAATAAGTTAGCAGTCCCTTAAAATTTTCCTCTAAGTGTTGGGCGGTAAAACGCGATAAATAACCTAATTCAAATTACTCAAGTTTGTCACACAATAAGCTGTTGTCGCAATACAATCGGAAGAAAAATACTCTTGGGAAGTTCTCATAGAGTGGCCGAAAGTCTCCAAACTGATCAACCGATCAGGAAAGCGCACGAGCGGAGAAGTGCCCAAAACTCGGGCCAACAATAATTTCGCCCAAAAGAGGAAGTCTCTTCCAATTGTAAATTTAAATTTTACAATTTCCAAAATTATACTAATCTCTGCTCTTGCCCAAACCAACAAATCGACCAAATTTCTGTCCTCAAATGCGAAACAACTTTCAATTTCATAATGCTACAAACTACTGGAATTACACCTTTGAAAATGCAGACATGAGCTCATGCTACACGAATGCTTGTGAAGGTGTAACTCGTTTTAAAATCAACATAAATTTAATTTACCTTGTCGCAAAAAGAAATCTTAACAATCATTGTAAACTGCAAGGTAATTTCAATTATAAACTGCCGGTGACCAAAGCTTCTATATTTTGTTCAACTCCAACTTTTAACTGAAGAGATATTGGGCGATTATAATAACTTAGAGATCTCTATGTACAGCTAAATCATACCGCTATATTGTTTCAGTGGGTAGACCTTGCAAGATAATTTAGAAGACAGTTAAAAAGTTTGAAGAAAAAGAACTTGATTATCAACTCGATTCACTTACAAAAAAATATCCTAATTGCAACAAGCTAACCGCGTTTCAAACGCACCCCTTACGTCATTCCCTTTTTTCCTGTCACCCTTGTAACGTCACGCAAGCGACTTAACGCCACCAGAACGTTCCAAGACACGCAAATTCGAACCACGACACGCAACCAAATTTGATAATACCAAAGTAAAGATAATTCCTTCGCAAGGTACGACTAAGGTACGTTTTGAAGCAATCTAACTTCAGATTATTTCTGTTTTTCACATGAAAAAAATCACATAGCAAACCTCAATAAATTGATCAATTCTCTAAAGCAGTGATTCCGAGTTTCGCGATAATTACAGACATGTTCACCTGATAGGTTCCGTTTAATACTTAAGGCCAGCTTATTCGAATTCATATAATCTTCTGTAAAAGAAATTTTTCAAAGGTCCGCAACATGTCATTCAATTCTTGGATCGAAGTTATAGATTAACTTCTCGCTTTTTCCACTTCACTTACCACCTCACCCGTCTAACAAACCGAACACAATCCTAGCTCTGTCAAATCAACAGTGCAAACCACTATGTCAAACCTAAGGCTTTGAAGTCGTCTACAACTGACAGATCCCTTCGAACAACACAGCTACCTTAACAACTCTTGTGCCCTGAAGTTTTTCCTTGCAAAAGAAATATTTCCAGTCTTTCATTATCTGCAAGTACCCTATCCCAAACTTAGTTTAACGATGAAAAAGATAGCCAAGGCCTAGAAGTGAGAACTAGTGAAGAGATTACAAAGCTTTGCCCCAATTGAAGCATTTGATACTCAAAGGTGGTTTCTTTTGCGCAATTTTCACACTATGTATAATTCAATAATTTTTCTCTATGTTCAACCAAAATAATAACAACACCGACAGTTCAACTCACCTTGACAATGATAAAAATAATTTAATAGTTTTCTAGCGTTTGAGGGAATCCCTCAGCTGCTCTAGTGGGATCGTCATAACAGTGCTCGAAGAATATATTTTCTTTGGATAATCAGGTCTCCATCTCCTAACCTGACCAAGTTGAGAGTGAATGAAGAATGATCACCATGGGAACGAAGGAGTGCATGAACTTAGGAGGTAATTTAAAATGAAGTTCAATTTTACTCTTGTTAAATAACAGCTTCGTCTCTGAGCCAGAATGACCGAAGTACTCCAAATATTGACTCCACGGAGTATATTCAATTTGTGCAGGTATCTGTTGAATGATTGACATGGACAAAAACAACCTTCCTAACCAAGAAGGTTTTTGTTCTTGCTATAGTATCTTAATGTGTTTTTTTGATTCAGTTGATCATTATTCCTCTATGGTATCCTTGGCTGAGTCCACAACATGCCACGATAATATTGCACTGCAACTAAAGTTCTCAAACGCCATTTCTTGAAATCTGGAATACATGCCACCTTCTTCACTTCTCAAATAGCAGTTGTCTTGATACTCATTTGTGTTCAGGAAGTGCCTTCACACCAATCACAACCAGAAGTGTGACAGTTAACGGTCCACTAGTAATATTTCCTTGTACTTTTTTTTCAGTGTTTTCATCTTTTAACTTTTTTTTTTTTATGGTATTAAATTGGAATGAAGTCAATTGCTTTACTCAAGTCTTCATGGTTTGTTTCTCCTCCCTAGGAGGCGGCCACTTTATCAGTGGCTACAGATCCTTGTTGAGAACTCTCCCGTTTGCTAACATTCGTTCTTTCCCCGGAAGATCCCGAGCCGGAAGATGATTTTCCAGAAGTTGCTTTACCAGACGGGGATTTACCGGAAGTGGCTTTAACTAGACCTGCTTTAGCACCTGCAGATTCTGAAGTTACATTTTCAGAAGCATGTTTACTCGCTGCAGCTGTCTTCTTATCTTTTTCATCAGATGAGCTCTGCTTTTCAACTTTGCGTTCTGCACTCTTCCTTCTCGAATCACTACTCTCAGTGCTTTTCTGACCCTTCTTGTCCTCTTTACCAGTCTTTTGTTCTTCCTTTCCACTTTTTTCTTCCTCTATAGTTGTTTTCTGCTCTTCCCTGCTACTGGTGGGAGGATGGTCATATTTGTCACCGTGTGAATTATGCCGTGACCGTGGTTTGTTGCTGTGCGGATCAACTGGGAACTGATTCATAGGCTGAGGGAAAGCGAAAGAAAACAAGATCAATTCTCTCCAAATAACAATACTTGCATACACAACCTCGTTAACCCTTTCACTTCCATGGGTGACCAAGATAGAATTAAACTTAAAAATATCAGTACAATATTAAGCAGCCAAGTGAGGAGAATTAAGGAAAACATTAATTAGGGGATTAGTAGTGAATCCGATACCTAATTCTCTGTGGTAACATCATAAGAATTATACAGCAGACAGCAAAGAGAATTAGCCCATAAGCTGTTTAATTTTTTATAACAATAAGTACTACGGGTGTATAGGCAGTACATTTTACTGGTGACCCTAGAATTGAAATGCAACTGGACTTAATTAATGACTATACCCTACTACCTGTACAGTTCATAGTACAATACTGCAATACATGTATAGTACAGAGAGAGACTGACCTCTGTGGGGAAGTATCAAGTTTCCTGGATTTGTTTCAATTGTAAGAATGAGTATTCACTAAGACAAGTGCTTAAGGGACAGGCTGACAAGCTCTAAAAACTTTTTTTAAGATGTATCATTCCTTACATCATTCCTGAAGTCATCTATTGTCTTGTACTTATCCAGGCGTTTTTGCAGATCTGGGTCAATCTCAAATCTTGCTTTGCCCTGTAAATAAAAGCAAATATATCAGTGGCAGCATAACCATAAACTTAACTCCTTACAACACTTTTTTTCCATCATCAAGGAACAGGCAACAAAAGACTTCCTTTCTCGACCTGTTTCAGTGACTTTCAGACAAGTCTAAACAACTCCGGCAAATTACAGAAATATTCACTTAGAGTTGACAAACATAAAAAAAACATAAAAAAGACTCTTCAAACTCACTTTGTAATATTTGAGGAATGCCCAAAACTTCTCTAAACCATAAAGGTTCCCTGAAAGTAAATTAAAAATAAATATGTTATTTGACTTTACCACAGTGCAAGTTTAAGAAGATCACTGTGAAATATAGGAAGACGTTATTTGTGCTGTGGACATGATTTCACAACAGAATGCTTTACTACTGAGCAACAGGAGATAGCATAGCAAGCCAAGCCATTATATTTAGGAGTCAAAACTTCTCCTCATAACATCTTTGTGATAAAATGGAGGACAATTGCTTTATTCAAAGTTTCAACTCAAATCTTATCAACTTTCTTATCATTTTAAAACACTATGAAACACCTGCCAAGTCACCAACTGAAAATTGCGTACCTTGGTCATGATCTCTTAACGTTTCTGTCTGGAAATCTTTGAACAAGTCAGCTTTGAACTTCTTTTCAAGGCCATAGCTAAAGAATCTGAAGAGGCACTCCAGGCCATACCTAAAAGGAGATGTATTGAGATAAATAATTCAGAACGTTTGTGTTTCACAGAACAAGCCAACCAAGTGTCATAAAAGTTAAGCACAAATAGCAGTGTTAATGTAGTTAGATTGTGCAGTAAACTGTCC